TACAAAAATTAAACACTGAGAGAAAACTAATGACGTCCCAAAACCCCATGGCCCAGGGCTTCCTGGAGGAAGGTCTTCCTGAAAGACAGTGGGGCTGTGGCTTCCCCTCCCCATCTTGTCTCCCATGCTCTGCAAACAACAGGAATTTTTAGTTCTGTGAATGTCTAATTGAAAAAAGGTAGTGACTAATAAACTTTGCAGTTTGTGATATGTCTTGTTTTGCAAAATTACGCTCAGAGTAGTGCACAAAAAGGATGAAGCAGAGACTTTGAAGGGGTACATATTCTGTTTGGGTTCAGCTTTAAGTCTAGAATATGGTGATGCGGTTTGCCAGTAAGATTGACTCCTTAGAAAATATGTAATTTCCTCAAAAGATTTGAAAGAGAGGTGCACTTATTTAGTTTGTTTCATTGTATGTTGCACCAATATTTAACTATGTTTTTCCAATAATTAAATGTTTAAAAGACATTTGCAAACTGCACTGTCGTGGTTTGCATCAGTATACAAAACTCAAAAAGTTACGCTATCCACCAATTTTATTACCGATATTAATCTTGAGCATTTCAATTAACTCATAGGAAATTGCAGCTGTAAAAGGAAGCTACGAAAAAGACACAGTTGCTTTCACAAGTTACATGCTGTATTTATGTCCTTTTGATTCAAAGAAACTTTTGCTTTCATATCTGAATCACCGTACAGCTCAAAAAGGCAGTTTCCTGTGATCCTAACCCAGAAATAGCTCAGAAGTGGAAGATGGAAGTAAATGTCCTACTTCTGAAAATGTATTATTTGAGTATAGTTTCATTTCACTTAATCATCAGAAGCCTGCTTGAAATGAAAGGTTATTCATAAAATAGCATTGGATTGAGGGGAAAATATCAGTGACGTATGGAGCAAAATATCTACAGAATTAATCAACTCATCAAATTTAACCACATTAGGAAAGATACATACATATAACTGTCACAGCTGCAGGGTTTTTTAAAAAAAGAAGCCTGAGGTTACCAATATGCAGAGTCTAGACTGTTATGTCAATGTGTCATTGAAGAATAGTAAACATCCAAAAAAAAGTTGAGCATGAGGAAAGTTTTATTGAGTAAGGATAATTAATAGCTCCATAAATTGCTGTTGATGTGTAATAGTCCTGCTAAGCACCTGGGTAACAGTGACCTTTGAAGGCAGGCCAAAACCTGCAGTTCTTAAAAGGTAATTAAAATAAGAAGGTCTCTGTTTGAAACTCAACAGATTGAAAAAAATGGTCTGTTTATTCTCCCTGAATTTAAAGAAATATATCTGACTGGTTGGAAAAAAACAGCTAAAGAGTTGGATAGTAACTGTAAGAAAAAAGTTTTTTTGGTGGGGGGGTATACCTAAAACTTTTTTATTGCTTGATGTGATGTATGTCGTATGAGAAGGAGGAAAATTATTTTTGTCTGACAGTGTGCTTATTAAACCAGCAAAACTATTTACTAATTACATAAAATGTTATTACACAGTCAGTGTTAGAAAAATAAAATAGCTTCAGGATTCTTTCCAACAGCCTTAAATAGAATTTTAGAAAAAGAAATTTCAGATTGTGCTGGAAATACTGTAATCAGTTGCAAAGTACTTGTCCGATGAATGCTGTAAATATAAAGTCAGGATATATTGGTTAAAAATAGTAAGTAGGGTTGATATTTATAAAAAAGCAAATGAACACTCTTCTTTCAAAGCTGGAGCTAATTTTTCCTTTCTTGAGAGCCTTGTGGTCTAGAAATGTGGGATGGAAATTCCAGAAATAAATGATTTCTGTGTTAGCTGCACATCTATCTTGCTTAGGTAGACTGGACGCTGTTTTTTTCTAGATCATCTGTTTGCTGACCTTATTTACTCTTAGAGGTTTACTGCAGTAAAAATTGTGTTTACAGACATACACGCACACACACACACACTCACACACAAAAACCACCTTGTAGGGCAAAGAAAAAGAAAAAAAAATCTATAGAACCCCTTGACTTCTCTAGCTAGCTGAAGACTGTATTTGGAGACATTTTAAGTGTGCATCCTATATTAGTTCAAATAGCAGGACTGAAGAGAACCAATCAAAACCTAATAAATGATTAAAAATTTCTCTATGTAAGTGGACATTAAAGTAATTTATAGTCACAATCAATACAATGACACAATGAAAACATAAGTAATAGGCTATGCACTAATAGAAAATGTTTTGTGAAAAAGTGTTTTGAATGTTTTATGAGCACAGCACTTCTCTACTATTAATCATACAATGCCCTTTTCAGGACTCAATGTGAGCCCCACCCCCCAAATGAATAAATAAAGGGGGCATAGGTAATTCCTTAAAAGCAGCCAGTCTTTTTCTGGTGGAGTCCTAAAAGTTGATGCTACTTTAATGAATAGCAGAAAGTGGCTATGCTTACTTCAGTCCAAACCATTTCTAAAGTTGCTGTTTTCTATTCAAAAGCATAGATACCTCCCAGGAAGGTTGCAGGGTATCGGGAAAAGATGACACGTATCATGACATCATCAGGCATATGATTCACTATATCATGATATCATGGATTTGTGTCATTTGCACAATGACATCATGATGCATCATTATTTTAACATTGTTTTGACTTTGCTTACAGACCCAGCTGCTAATGAACAGTGAGTGCCCGTTTGATATAGAAGTTAAGGTGCTGGACTAAAAACTGGGAAGACACGAGGTCTTGTCATCCTTTATAACATGGAAGCCAGCTCAGGGATTTCAGAGCCAGTTACTTGCTTAACCCAACCCACCTAATAGGGTGAATAGGAGAAGGGAGCATTATTAATGCTGCCTTATGTTGTGAAAAGTAAAAGATGGGGCATAGAATCAACACATAAATAACAAAACTGCTATCAGTAACTGATCCTCAGCTTTCAGTCACAGAAAACAGCAGTAAGTTATGTTCTTCTTTTTTTTTTGTTCTCATGCATATATAATATTGAAGTTTTACCAGGAGTTTACCAAATTTAGAGGCTTTATTCATGAAACATACTTTCACTGGAATGCTAGTGTGAAGCTTAAGAGAAGTCCAGGTCAAGAAAATAACAGATTTGTCCATTTTGCATTTTATATATATTTATGTGTACTGTCCCCTTAAGCTTACTGTATTTGCAAATAGTGAAAGTATAGACAAAGGGAGGTTGGAGCTATGTTTTTTCTATCAAATGAAGAGGTGAAATTGTAGGGTCCTTGGTACTCTCTAAACTCTGAGCTTGGTGGTTTTCTTGCAGAAGTTTCATTGTCAGAGTAGGTAATATCATCAAGGTAGATGATATTACAGATCAATCCTGAACTGCAAATATTCTCTTCTGCCATTTAAACTTTCTCGTTGTGCTGATGGCTAAATCCACAATCCAACTTTGATGGGGGGACTGTACAGTCCTATTTTTCAATTTTTTAAAAAATAAACATTCGTGGAACACCCAGATTGGAATTTAATTTGGGACAATCCCGATCAAACTGGGATGCATGGTAACCCTGTTTCTCTTTCTCTATTCCTCTCTCTTACCCCCATATACATTTTTCTTATCATTTTGTACTATATGATTTTTTTTTGTTCTTGCAACCACTCTTAATCTAAAATATATTTGCCAGGATATTTGATACATACCCTTTTATTGTAAAATGAACATGTTAACTGATTAAAAAAAAGGTATTAGCAATCCATCTAGATTTTCACTGCTGTAATTTATAATAGGACAAGTCTTTTCTTATATAAAGCTTTGTTTCTCAACAGCACCTGTTGTTGGGGAGTTAGTCCACATATCTTAAAATTCATAAGGTTTTAATATAAAATAATTAGGAAATGTTAAGTAAGGTCAGAATTAGGGATGGAATCTTGCAGCATGCTGCCACTTTGAAGCACCCCCTTAAAATAAGGTCTGGGGAGCACTCTACAGAGTGACTGGCTGGGAAATTTGGGGAATTGAAGTCCACACATCTAGAAGTTTCAAAGACTGAGAAGCCATTACATGATATGTAATGAGGTGGTAAAAGAATTTTAGACTGTGTCTCTCCAGAATAAGGATATGGGTTTCAGACATTTGATCATTTCCCATAAAATATGGGAAGAATGTTTCCCACATTTAGTATACTTACTGGTAGAGTAAGTATTGTGAAGAAGTAAGTAATGCGAAGAAGCTGAATCTATTAATTTGCTGAGCTGTGCAATTTTTTTGGAAAATGCTTTGCAATATTTAAGAGAACATCTGAAACATTTCTTTTTGAATCATGAAGGTAGCCATGTCTTGTTCTACCTCTGTACAGTTGCTTCATACATTATTCCCATTCCCTTAATTTGTAAAAGCATACATCTAATTATTATCTTTTAACCTGGTGTGTTGTACTATACCAATAACAAACCAGGTTAGAGATAACATAAGATAATAATATAACCAATACTTGGAAATTAAAATAATTATAATCCTAAACATTAAGTAGAGACCCAGTTGGGAAAGGACATTACAGTAAAGATAATTTTGGGCTTCCATATCGGAGTTCTAAATTCTGGTTGACCACTAGATGTCAGAAAACAATTTGAACTTATAGCAATACCATTTAGACTTATATACCACTTAACAGTGCTTTCCAGCCCTCTCTAAGTCGTTTACAGAGTCAGCATATTGCCCCCAACAATCGGGGTCCTTATTTTACCAACCTTGGAAGAATGGAAGGCTGAGTCAGCCTTGATCCTGGTGGGATTTGAACTACCAAATTGCAGTCAGCCAGCAGTCAGCAGAAGTAGTCTGCAATACTGCGTTCTAACCACTGTGACACCATGGCTCTTATACATACATATTAGTCTTCTGATTCTTTTCAATCTAGTTATAATGATTCCATCCTTATAAAAGTAGAATTAAAGGACTGGATAAATAACAGTGATACACAATGGATTCCCCCCCCCCCAATTGCTTTAACAATTTCAGCATTTAATACTCCTAAACTATTCCTCCCCTTTGTTTTCTTCCTTCAGAGATTCAAACTTGTTTATGCTGGACACCCGAATAGTATGGGCCTCAGAAGAAGGATGGCTGGAATTTGACATCACTGCTACTAGCAACATGTGGGTGATAAACCCTCAGCATAATTTGGGACTCCAGATGAGCGTGGTGACTAGAGATGGTAGGTATTAGACATATTTTAAACATCTGGTCAATGACCTTGTCATTAAGTAGAAGCTATGTTTATAGCATTAAACTATGATGTATCTGGCCCATGCAGTCACACAGCTGTGCTATGATAACAGGGCTCTGAATCCAACAGCACAAATTGAAAGCTTCTTGATTATTTTATTCCATTTTTGTAGTTATGAAATACTGAGAATTCCTGGGTTGTGAATATTGGTGGTGGTTGTTGAAAAATTCTCTGAAAGTACTTTTTTCTAGGAATGACTATTTCATGTAGGGTAAATAAACCGTTGCCTAGAACAGGGCTGTCATATTCCCGTCGTCATGATGGCGTCATGTGACATATTGGAACTTTTTCCCCCTTTGCTAAACCAAGCGTGGGTGTGGCCAGCATGTGACGCACCCGGGCCTTGGGCTGGAGTTTGACAGCCCTGGCCTAGAAGGTAGACAGGAATTTCAATGTGTTCTCTTGACCGGATCAGAAATCACACTGCTTAGAGTACTTTTTTCTGTGGTGATACAATGTAAAATATTGCATCAGTCTATCAGGCTGTACATCTGAAAAAGCTATAGAACTTGACTTATGCAATACTGGTGAGAGTCTCATGCTACGTTTTGTGTTTGCAATAGGCCATTTATCTTTAATAATCAAACAGGTTGGTAGAATTTCTTTTTGCTTCAATTGATGGGGAAGCGCAGCCAGGTTCAGATATTGAATGAATCCACAGTATAGCATAGTTGGTTTTGTTCTTAGTTCTATTATGTCAATCCAGCTATTCCATGTTTTTGAACTGTGGTTTATTGACTACCACCTTTGCAAATCCAACATGTCCAGGCTCATGTGATGCAGTTACTAGGTGATTTAATTGCTTCCCATTATTCATTAACAAGACTTTTGAAAAAAACAATGCAGGAAACATTTTGCAAGACAAAAGAATTGTGAGAAATAAAAAAAAAATGTTTCAACTGTCATATTCATGTCATATTTAAGTAAATGATAACTATTGAATAGGAAGAACAAGCAGGGGAAAATTAAGGAGAGTCAGTAAGATATTGCATGCATGAAAACATCTGCTTGGCTCCAAAGAACTATTCAGAACACTGTACTCTTTATATGACATACTACCTTTTTGGTTTAATTTATAGGTCTCAGTATAAACCCAAGAGAAGCAGGGCTAATAGGTCGAGATGGCCCTTATGATAAACAGCCTTTCATGGTGGCTTTTTTTAAACTGAGTGAAGTTCGTGTTCGGACTGTTAGGTCAGCACCCAGTAGACGCAGGGACCAGAGCAGAAACCGCTCCACACAACCACAAGATGTTTCCAGGACATCCAGGATCACAGGTAACCTCTTACATACCTGCTGGGCTATGTTTATTCATTACACGTCGTTTTTGAGCACTTTATGAAAATTTTTTATTCATATCTATTTTTGGTTTTTTGCAATTATTTATGTTCAATAAGAAATAGCCGAAACATTTTAATTGGCCCTTCAACTTTAAACTCTAATCTGTACCCTAATCCAGTGTGGTTTGATATATAGATGTTTTTAAATCCCCATTCTAGGACGCTCACGCTCGCATGCCAGCACCCAGAAGGCAATGCGCCCCCCCACGTTCCCTAAGCATGCATGTGCAATCACTCCCGCCGCCCCCTTAGCAGCACTGCACCTCACAGCTGATTTTCGATCGGTTTGAGGCCTTTTTTGGCCTCCCAGAGAATTTAGGAAGGCTTCTGCAGGCTTTTCAGGCTGAAAACTAGCCCCGTTTCATCACTTCCTGTTTTTTTCAGAAATACTGGAAGTGATGAAATGGGCCTAATTTTTGGCCTGCAAAGCCTGCAGAAGCCTTCCTCAAGCCTTTGGGAGGCCGAAAAAGGCCTCAAACCGGCTGAAAAATCAGCTGTGAGGCGCAGTGCTGGTAAGTGGTCAACAGGGGAGATTGCATATGCATGCGTAGGGAGCGTGGGGGGCTCATGTATTCTGGGTGCTGGCATGTGAGTGTGAGCATGTAAACACGCACACAATTTTTGACACAGGAGCCCAAAAAGGTTAACCATCATTGCTATATTGGCTTTAAAAAAACATTAGATAAATGTGTGCTTTTAAAGAAATGGAGATTAAATCTTACTTAGAAACTGGGTCATTTTCTTTCAGTTTAACTGTTTGTTATATATCTTCCAATCAGTCCTGCCACTGATTTTATCTACAAATGCTGACATCTCTACCTGTATCAGACCTTATTTTCTATCTTTCATTTATTTTCAATCTTGCCAAGCACACTCATTTTTTTCTAGTCTAATAATCTGTTTGAATCACTTTCCAAAGAATTTGAGTGACTGATTATAATTACCTCAAAGGAGCAGTCAAACTTGTCTTCTTTAATTTCTTGTAATTTATGGTAATCTTAATTGTGTCAAAACCTTTAATTTGAAGAAGCCCATTTTTTTTCTTAGTCTTAATGACCATTTTTCATATTCATATCTTAAACTGAGGAAAAATTACCATGGCTGTTATGAACTTCGTTGTTACGTATCCCTTTTCTTCATTAGTTTATATAAATTTGTCATACATTCTCTCCATTAATTCTTGAGCCCAACAAAATTAAATACCATCTTCATATTTTCCTGGTCAACTCAGAATTCACAAAGCATGATGGCATTGTCTGTGCCATCTCAATATTTCACATAATCCCAAATTTTTCATTTTTTAACTTTCATATTGTGGTCATCTAAGAGTTTCTTAATATTTAGTTAAAGAATTAATGTCAGCTATACGTCTCAAATTGTCAGTGTTTCAGCCTCCAATTTTGATTTCAGCTGTCACCCATGCTGTTCTTAAAATATATTAAAAAGGTATAAAAACAAAATATCTTTGTCTTACTTCTGTCCCCATTCAGCTTTGTTGCTGCCACATTCATGCGTTACAGTAGCTTTTTGTTCATTTTCAAAATTCCTCATAACAATAATCAAGCTTTCTGGCAAATTTATTAGCTTTAATGCATTCCACATTCTATTCTGATCCACACAAAGGCTTTGCTGTTGTCAATGAAATAATAAATTCTCCTCCTTCAATTATCTTGCTTTCTCCGTAAACCATTTGCCTGAGCTAACGGAAACACTTTCTGGGATAAAACAAACAGGGAAAATATTTGGAGAGCAGAACACCAACAAGTTCAATTATCTGTAACTCAACTCCAAGCAGAAATACTCCTAAACACCTAAATTTTCTAGAGATAGAGAAATCAGAGACTGCTTTAAAAGGCAGTATATTTTACAAAAGCTCATACCTTTTAATAAAATTGATTAGCTTGAAAAGGTACTACTAGGCCCCTGATTTTTAACTACCATAGAATACAGGTAGTCCTCAACTTACAACCACTGTTGAGCCCAAAATTTCTGTTGCTAAGTGAGACATTTAAGTGAATTTTACCTCATTTTACAACCTTTCTTGCCACAGTTGTTAAGTGAATCACTGCAGTTGTTAAGATAGTAACACGGTTGTTAAGTGAAACTGGTTTCCCCATTGACTTTGCTTGTCAGAAGGTTCCAAAATGTGTTCACATGACCCCAGGACACTGCAACTGGCATCTGTATTTTGGTCACGACTGTGGGCTGCTGCAAGTGTGAACAATGGTCTTAAGTTACTTTTTCTAGTGCCATTGTAACTTCGAATGGTCACTAAATAAACTGTTGTAAGTTGAGGACTACCTGTACCCAGTTTTCATCCTACAATGTCTCCTTTGGAGAGGCAGATTTCTGATAGATTATAAAAGCTTCTCCTTTTTAATCTGTGCTAGTGCTATATCGATTATTTAGGAGGATTAATCTGAGTGAAGTCTGGCATCATCAGGTCACCCTACCAGAACTCAGTGATGAAAAACAGATTGGCCTTTTCATCCAGGTAGAATAGTAGAATAGCAAAGCATTCAAGACTTGCTGATGGGAGTACAGGATTGGGCAAGAAAAAAGGGACTGCCTATTTTAACACGTCAGCATTGCTCTGATGACCTATTACCTCTGGGTTTTCCAAAAGACTGCTAATAAGAACACCTTTACACACATTTAACAGGATGGAGCTGCCTTAATTTACAAAAAAATTACCCAAACCTGTATTAGCCTAGTATTTCTTGAAATAATTTTAATCTCCTGCCCGACAGCACAATAATTAAAAAATGATTTTGGATTTCCAAAATCCAAAACAGAGGTCCTATCAGGTGCTGAAGATATGCTTTCAGATAATTACAATCAACAACCTGCAAAATTTAAGGTGTTTTAAAGCAGGTGTAGATAGTCTGTGATTCAAGCAGCCTCTCTACTATGCTGCTTAATTTTGCACTTTGGAGTGCTTGAAAGTCAGCTGTGTACAGGTAGTCCTTGACTTACAACAGTTCATTTAGTAACCATTCAAAGTTACGTCACTGAAAAAGTGACATGATCATTTTTCACACTTGATTGCAGCATTCCCATGGTCACGTGGTCAAAATTCAAATGCTTGGCAACTGACTCTATGACAGTTGTAGTGTCCCAAGGTCATGTGATCACCTTTTGCAACCTTCGGACCAGCAAAGTCAACAAGGAAGGCAGATTCATTTAGCAACCATGTTACTAACTAAACAACTGCAGTGATTCAACAATTGTGGCAAAAGTTGTAAAATGGGACAAAACTCACTTAATAAATGTCTACCTTAGCAACCTAAATTTTGGGCTCAATTTTGGTCGTAACATAAGTCAAGGATTACCTGTACTCCATCCTGAGGAAACTGGTCAATGCTGAGGCTTTGGCTTTTAAAACTACTTTCACAGAGTTATAAAACAATGTTTATTTTTTTTTAATTCTTAAAAATTCCTGCAAGAAAATAATGTGTATGCGAATGCCCCATTTATGTAGTAGCTGTTTTTTGTTATAGTTTTTGTCTTCCATATGCTATTTGCATCTTGCCTGTTAAAAATTACCCACCCTTGCTTTAAGAACTATAGCATCTTCTATTAACTTACAATTACAATTTCCAACAGTTTTTTTTAATACCTCCTAACAGATTACAACAGCAGTGACTTAAAAACTGCTTGCAGAAAGCATGAACTTTATGTTAGCTTCCAAGACTTGGGATGGCAGGTATGTGGTGTTTCTGTCTTAAGTGGCCTTAAAATACTATCTGGAATATTGATGCTAGTTTTCTATTTAGCAGATTAGATTTGTGTGAGAAGTACATGGAGGGCGAAAGGAAACCTCCTTGAATATCCTGCTCAGTGAAATATTTGTCATAATCTTAACTTGGATTGAAGAGCAAATTTTAGTTATAGGCTACAATAAAATGCTTTTTCAAGTGTTTTCCAGAGCATATCTAATACTATTCTGTTTACTTAAAATATTTATAGTCCCCTCCATTCCTGATTGATTTTGGACAGGGTCAGCAAAACTTTGGTTTGTCAGTTTTTCAATTTTAAAAATTATACGTTGTCCATTTGCTTGTAAAGCCCTCTGAATCTAAGTTCCAAATGTCTAAAGTCTTGCATAAATCTTACTAAAATGGCTTCCTTCCTTTTGGATTAAATGCTGTCTTTCAGTAATTGACTCTTGCCTTGTTGGTGCATACAGTAGTGTGTAGTAAAATGGTCCTAGGCAAGAAAGTATTTGTTTCTAGCTATAGAAGCTTCCATTTAAGAATGTAGCTTGTATCTATGTGGAGGCTATGTGCACATGTATTATGCAGTTATGGAAACAAATGCATTCTCCATTAGACATCAGGGGTGTAAGAAATGTCAGGATCCCTCTTGTAGTCTCTATAGTATGTAGAACCAAAATGGTGAGTTTTTTGCTTGCATGTACTGGGCATGATGTAAGTATAAAATGGAGGACTTAAAACAGGGGTGTCAAACTCAAGGCTCGTGGGCTAGATCCGGCCTGCAGGATATTTAGATCTGGTCCATGGGGCCGGCCTGGAAACAGTGAAGAATCAGCCTGCAGTACTCTTTACCTGGCCCTTTCAAGCTTCATTTTCGCTGGAAGAGGGTTAGCAAAACAAACTAAAAACAAAAGCAAAGGAGAAATGTTTCCCCTTTTGCATTTCAGCATGCAAGAAGGGACCGGAAAGGACAAGGGGAAAGAGGAAAAACAAAGTAAAAGAAGAAAAGATGGGAAGAGAGCAAGGGCAGAAAAAGAAGGAAAGAGGGGAAGGAAGAAGAAAGAAGGAAGAGGGAAGGAAGGGCAGGAAGGAAGGAAGATTATGAGTGTGAGGGAGGGTCTAATGAAAATTCTGCCAGCATTTGGCCACCACAAGTGTCCCCGACATGAGTCCTGTGTCACGCCCACCATGGCCATGCCCCTGGCCACACCCCACACCCCCTCAGCCCTTTGAAGTCAAACAAACCCTGATGCAGCCCTCAATAAAATTGAGTTTGACACCCCTGACTTAAAACTTGGAGGGGTTGAAATCGTTTGCAACCTAACTCCAAGCAGAAACTTTCTTTCATTTTTTAATCCCTTAAAAATCCTGAAATCCCTTTCCAGAACACACTTTACCCATGCCCACTTTGACATGGCATACAAAGCTGAGGTAATATAATCTGTGTATCTGTGCTCTAGACATTCACAATGTTCATAATTTAGTGACCATTTTTTTACATTTATGACCTTTGCAGGACTGTAAAGCAAAGAAAAGCTAAGTAAGATCATAAGCCCAGTTGCAATTTCACTAAGTAGTGACTTCACTTAACAACCAAGTTACTGATTCCAGTTATGGTTTCTAAATGTGGATTACCTGTATATGAGTATACTCTTCATAGCGTAGGATTAGCAGAGAAGATTCAGCATTATTTTAATAATAGCAATAGAGCTTAGGTTTATGTACTGTTTCACAGTGCTTTACAGACCTCTCTAAGCGGTTTAGAATCAGCATATTGCCCCCAACAATCTGGTTCCTCATTTTACGGACCTCGGGAGGATGGAAGGCTGAGTCATGCATGAAAGTCAGTATTAGAAACAACAATATTTTCCTGAAATCAGTGTTTCTCTATGAATTTGCAGGATGTTATAAAGAATGGTTTACTATCTCTTACATTGGTCATTTATATTACACAAAGACAACAATCTTATACTATAGAAATTATTTTGTCATATTGTCTAAAATTCAAGACATAATAAAAAATTTAACATCGTGGAGGAACAGAGAAACACTGACTTCAGTGTCCCTGTATGTATTTATTAGGCTGAATTCTAACCCATACAATATTCTTGTTAAGGATTGGATAATTGCACCAAAGGGTTATGCAGCAAACTACTGTGATGGAGAATGCTCTTTCCCTCTCAATGCTCATATGAATGCCACAAATCATGCCATTGTGCAAACTTTGGTGAGTATATGTGCATATATATTTCGTGGCTCATAACTGTAATTATGAAGGATTTAAACTTATTTCCTTCTGAAGTTGTTGCATAACTGATCTTTCCAGCATGTCTGGGCTTAGACTTGGTTAAGACTTAAACTTATATGGGAATAGGAAGATAATTTTGACATTAATAAATTAATTCATCGATAGTGGTGGGAATGCTAGCAGGATTATAGAAAGCAGAGGGAGACCTGATTTCATTAACTTTGCATGAAAACATACAACTGCACCTCACTTTAAGTAGCTAAAAATAATAGTATAGGCTTGAAAAATTGAATAAGAGCATATGGTGTGGCTATAAAGACATGCAAGTCAACTTGATAAACATGCCCCAATCTCCCGATGGCTCAGATAAATCTGCAGTTTAAGAAGGAACAAGTTGATATTTCAGGTAATACTATCAATTTCTTTAAACAGGTTCACCTAATGAATCCAGAGAACGTTCCTAAACCATGTTGTGCTCCTACAAAGCTTAATGCAATTTCAGTTCTTTACTTTGATGACAATTCCAATGTCATTTTGAAAAAATACAGGAATATGGTGGTAAGAGCTTGTGGCTGTCACTGACAAAGTATCTTTACAAGACGCAGTAAAAAAGAAAATCTAATGCTTCTGGAACAGCGTTTGTGCCTTAAGAAGGAATAATGAAAAGCAAAGAATTCTGCTACTACTTGTTAAGTATTTGCACACTCATAGCTTTTTGATCTTATAGTTTTAAGTAGGTCAGAACAAATTATAAAATATGGATCCTATGAATACAAAGAGAGATGTGAAAAAAGTAACCTGATGTTTGAACTATATTTCAGTCTTACTAAATGAGCGTCCCTCACATTTTGGATAATATTTCAAGAAGAAAACAGGAGTCTGTCTAAGGAATAAAAAGCACAATTTTAAGTTGAAATTTCAACCACATAAAGTTAACAAAACCTTCTTTGCTGACCCTTAAGGCTTAGAAACCAAATATGTGAGATCCTGGAAACTACTGCAAGAAAATGTCTTCTATTTTGATGAACTGTTTCACTTAAATTGCTTCCTTTAGAAGCTAAAGACAGCTTTTATACATTGTCCTTTCAAATAAAAGAACTGGTCATATACCTGTTAATCATCAGATTAGGACAACCTTGGTTGAGCTACCATTTTGGGAAGAAGGGGGTATCTTAGAGGCAAAATTATGAGATAGGAAGATGCCTTTGTGTTATTTTCAAAGGCATTTTCTACAGTTACACCCTATTGCTAATTCTGCCTTTCTCAGTGTCTTGGCATCACCATGAGCAAGTGTGCACAATAACCCACAGTCTATTCCTTAGACAAAAACATGCAACTCCACTGGACATACGAAGGAATTGAGGAGTTTCAAACTACGTTTTTTTAAAAATCTGGTTTTCTGAAATGGGAAAGAAAATGAATCATTCAAAGTTTACTAAACAAGAGACACTTACCTGATTGCTCTTCAGAAAAATGTAAGTTGACAAGGTGGAAATGAGGCAAAGCTGCAGTCAAAAGTAGAACTGCTTTACATTTACTGATAATAATGGGGCATATTCTTAGTTTAAGAAAAATACATTTCAATGCAATATGAACCTTATTTCTAATGTCAGATTACAGATAAATGCCCAGGCAACATTTCAACAAAGTGCACTTCCCTTTGACTACTTTGCATTTTAAGAAGATTTTTGTAAATAACTAAAGGTATAATTTATTTCAGTCATCAGATATATTAACTTTGATGTATTATTTAGCAAGGCCATGATTTTTTTAAAAAAAATTTATTCAGAAATTGTGTAAACAATTGTACCACTTGATTTTGTACAAGAAACTCATGAGATACAACTTAGCCAGCTCTTAAAATTGTGCTTCTTTAGGTTTTTAAAATGAATAAAGGCTCCCTTTAAGGCAGAAATATGTGTTGATTTCTCTGCCATATGTGATTAGCCCTTTCAGTTAACTTCCATAATTCACAAGGATTTTTTTCCAGCTTTGTTCTGGACAAATTCTCTACCCTTCAAAAACTGAAGGAAAAACAAACTAGAGTACAAACACTGAGCATCTAGACATGGCTATGAACATCGTATTTCTTCTGTATAGACCTGCAGATAATGACCCGTAACTGCCCCAGAAAGATGGCAATAATCCATATGCAAAATAGATCAAGATTTAGCTGCTATAGTTTGATCTTGTATCACTACTTGCACAAGAAAGTCTTTGGCTTTAATTCATCCTCTTAGGGCATACTAAATTGGAAACAGGACTGAATGGGGCTGGAAAATACACAAACCTACAATATCATCTACAAAAATGTTATGGGCAAGTTTGATTTTTTTGTTATTGCGGACCTGGGAAAAGAGAAGGTCTTTCATAGACTTCTAAAGATGTACCTGTTCATATGTAAACATGGATCCTAGCTAATCTGAAATTGACAAATTGTAAACAGGGGATAATCTTCACCCAGTAAAATTTGGTTTATAATGTTTGGAATTGAAATGAACATCAAATCTATATGAAGACAGCCAAGTCATGCAATTTAATTAAACGGAGTGTTGGGCTTAGCTGAGAGGTAGCATTGTCCAATATCCAGACCTAGACAGTACCATTAATTTTCATTGCACTTCCTCATGAGAGAAGACAACAACAGAAAGCAAATAGCCAGGGTAGCTCCCTAGACGATTGTGTTTCTGTGGGCTTTCCTTTAGAATTTCTTCTAATTTGGTTTCTGAAGGAAATTAAACTCTGCAAATTTTATGCAGCTGATATTGTACTAATATGTTATCTGCAGTGGTGTTAGCCTTTTTTTCCTTAATTTTTGTTTCAAACACTTTTCCCCCCATCATTAATGTAACCAGTACCATAAATGCTGGTTTCCAATTTGATCAGTTACTGTTTGTTGTAACCTTTCCTCAAGTTTAGCAGAGTAGATAATAGGAAATACAAACATATGAACAGACGATACCACGCTTTAGAACATCCAGTTTCCCACATGACCACTACTGGAAATCCAATAACATTACCATGATTCAACTTCCAAGTTTACTGGACCCAGCTAAAGGAGCAATAACTAAGCAGGTACATTTTTACAGTTCATCCTTGGACTGTCCCAGAACAAAGTTGTGCAGTGTGTCGAGATCTCTGGCTCCTGTGTGTTCAGATACTTTCTCACCACTACGGAAAAGCAAGAGTGTTGGGTAGCCATGGACCTTCAGAAAGAGAAAAAAAGAAATCAGAAAACACCATCATTTTAATCTTATTCCTTTATTTCGCGTATGTTCATTAGCAGAAAAATCCCCCCTCCCCCAATTCCAGGTGCATTAAATGCAATTCGTCTCATGTCTAAGGCATATTTAAGTCAACTTAAATCTCTGTTATTTTCTTTGGCAGCAATATAGACATTGTTTGTCTTGACCATCTTCTGCCCTTTGTTTCAACTTCCTAATGCTATAGTCCGAAGAATTGCCCAGAAGTCTCCCATCCAAGTACTAACTAGGCCTGCCCTTTTTTAGGTGTTTTAAGATCTCCAGCATGTTGACCTTGTATAGCAGGTATGAGAAAACCCTTTAAATCCCAGTGTATGGATTTAACAATAAAGCAGTAGGACTGACTAAACCAGAGGTGGCGAGCTATGGCACCTTTATGTCTTGTGGACTTCAACTCCCAAAATTTCTGAGCTAGCATGAGCATGGCTGGCTCAGGAATTCTGGGAGTTGAAGTCCACAAGGGCCATAGTTCCCCATCCCTGGACTAAACTAATGGCCACTAGCAATTTAGTACAAACTGAATACCATCTAGCATTGTGCTTACAGAAAATCTGTTGCAGACGTTGCGTTCAGCAGTGCAGTCTACTTCTGCTATCTTCACATCCACTGGTCCTGGAAAGTTCCTTTTTGAGAGGTTCTCCCATATGGGAGCCAGGCTTTTACAATGTCCGCACCTGAAATAATGAGTAAATTTTATTTTGGCTTTGATAATTAATGTAACAAATACTTTAAAAAACAAAGAAAACTGAAAAAAAAAAACAAGCTTGAGAATATCACAATACAATCTGTTAGAAGTCACACAAGAAGATTAAATACAGATATAAATATGAAGCTTTTCATACAATTCAATTCATATCTGATGACAGAAAATTAACTTAAATCACATCTATTTCATACTTAAAAGAATCACCACCCATTTTTCATGAGTACAAATATATATCATCCTATTAAAGGTTCATAAGTATAAAACTACTCCCTTTGATAAGTTCATTATGAATGATTAAGGAGATTGCCTTTCTCCAGATTTAGGACACTATGACACAAGTGTCTTAATTTTGCAATGTTTCTTAATTTTGCAATGTTTGGAGAGTTTGAAAATGCTTCTGAAACATAAGACCTAAGACACAATACACTCTCCTCTTCGTGTTTGGGGAGGGAGAGGATCAATAACAAGCCAAACTGTTTGGAAAACTATGTTTCATAATTTTGTGTTGCAATGTAAAAGTAAACTACTTTAACAGCTCTTGCGTTCTTTCAGACGCTATAATATCTGAGTTAAGGATTTCAAATCCTTAAATGTGGAAAGAATGTACCATTTAAACAAAACCTTTTTCTAAGGCAGGGGTCTCCAACCTTGGCAA